AGAGATGGGAACACAAAGAGAGAGACAGAGCAGTGAAGGCTGCTCCTGGAGAGTAAGATGACTCCTGTTTTTCAAAAATAACCAAGAGAAGAAATGTTTTATATTTGTGCCAATACACTATTTGGCAATTATGAGGGAAAGGGAAGTAAAACCGACACTGTCTGAAAAGAGGGAGAAGAGGACAGCAGCAGAGACACAGAACAGAGAGAAGTTAGAGAGAAAATGTGTTAAAGAGGAAGGACAGGAAGGAGAATCAAGTGGCGGGAAAACAAGACATACAGAGAAGAAAAGAAGTCAGATGAAGAGGGAAAAGAAGAAGAGCAGGAGGAAGGAGGGATCTGGAGGAAGAGAGGAGATGGTGTTGATGTTTGCTTGTTATTCCAGCACTAATTTTCCCCCTGGAGCTCATTACAGTCTGGAGAGAAACAAACCACAAAACCTTAAAAACCAACAGAGTGGAGAGAAAGAGGAGGGGTGCAGTGGGGAGGGGGGGGGGGGGGGGGGGGGGGGAGAAAAAAAAGTTAAGAAGGACCAGGAGAAAGAGAAAGAAGGACAGAGGAAGCAGAGACACAAGAAGCACACATCAACTGGATTTATAAAGACAAAGATGGAGGGAGGAAAGACAGACTGAAGGAGGGAAGAGAAGAGTAGAAGAGACTGAGTGAAATGAATAAGCAATATGGAGAAAGGAGGAGACAATAACAAGAAAGACACACACACACACACACACACACACACACACACACAAGCACATATTGTGAACACCGCCCACCATTACACACTTCGACACACCTGGGGCTGTGTGTGTGTCTCTGGTTGCTTTCAGAAGTTATGCCAGCTTCAACAAAATAAACTGCCAGGCCAGGCTTAAAGTAGGTTTAAGAAAAATAAAAGTCCCATTTAAATTTTATTGATTTCATCAGAGCAAATAAATAAGAAAACAGTAGATAAATTGATTTGATTGATTGATAAATCAAAGAATATCATTATAGTCTAAATATTCACATGTAATTTACAGTCAAGATAATAATAATAATAATAATAATAATAATAATAATAATAATAATAGTAATTATAATAATAAATAAAAGTCCTTTTAGCCATAGGTTTTATAAGTAGTAGATTCAGCTTTTTAGCCACAACTTGGTTTGACCCAAAACAAAAACAAGAAGCATGTTTTTAATCAGAAGAGCAGAACAGCAGCCTCAGATTTCCACACAATCACTAGTAAGTTTCTCTTAGAATATTTTTTCTTTTATATAACACTGAAGTACGGAAATACAGATATTATAGTCATCAAGATCAGATTCAGTTTTCAGTATTAGTATTATCATTATTATCATCATAATACCAGTAGAATAGAAACAGTGGCTTAGATTTTGATATATTTATATATCCATATACTGTGTAAATTCATGTATATATATAATAGAGTTTGTGGTTGTACGTTGGTTTCAGTGTCCAAAGTCCAACATTGAAGAAAAGCAAGGAAGGATCCGTGCTGGGAGGCAAACGAGTACAGCAGCAGATAAAGTACAGACATGAGGAAGGAGAGGGAGATGGGCCGTTGAGGAAAGGAAGAAAGAGGTGAAGTGAGTGAAGGGAGAACAGAGGTGTCCAAAAAAGGAAGAGAGAAATCTGCACTTGGGTACAACAGCATAGTCGAAGAGAGAAGAGGATCCTGGAGCGGGAGGGGTACGAATCTGAAAAACAGCAGCAGTGAGGGAAAGACAGATAGAGGGAGGGGAGATGAAGGTGTGGAGGAAGGATGGTTGGACAGAATGGAGGCCGATTTGAATGTTTGTTTGGCTGCCAGAGAGATGATAAAAACACTTAAGTAGCAAAGTAGAGCAATCCTTTCTGTGTGACTGTGACTTGCATCAGTACAATATTAGTTTCATTAGATATAGTCACAAGAGAGTCATGGTAACATATTGACCGCATGACTGGAGAAGGTTTTTATTACATCTATATTTAAAGGTTCTGTAAATGAGATTTTAAACAATAATATAGCAGCAAACAACTATTTTCTATGTAAAGATATAGTGGAGTGATGAGGTCCCTAGCAGAGAACCAAGTCACACCCCCTCTTTATGTGTTGTAATCTGAGCATCTCTGTTCTTTGTTTTAGTGTCCGGTCCAGACACCAAAATAAAGAATAGAGGCCTCCGACAAAGAACGAGATAAGACCAGGGCACAGGCGGAGTGGCCATGGGGGCTACTGGCTCAAATCCCAGTTGGCCAGTGGAGTGTCAAAACATCCATCAAGTTTTAAAAGTTGTTTCTGGCTCCGTCAGTCACTTTACTGCCTGTCATTCATGCGCGCAGTGCGAGCAGAAAAGTTTGTGGCTGAATTTCTTTCCCAATCCGACCGTGGAGCCAATACTAATGTCTACTACTGGCTTTACCGACATGGTGAGCACCACGGGCGGCTAAAGGGCTTCAGCTTGACTCAGAACTTTCCTCTCCTCGATGTGTAAGTAACTTGATGGCTACATAATGTTACATGTCTATTTACATTAGTGACTGGCTACGGAAGTCATGATAAAGTTAGCTAACTTGCTGTTAGCAATATTTTGAATGTGTTTGGCTCTCACTGGCTTAGTGCCACATCATGGCAATGCTACCAGGGGCTAATGGTTATGGCTGGATTGTTTTTGTTGGCTCTCGTGGACACAGAATAACTTCATTCGGTTGTGTTTCTCATTGTGTGTTCAGTGGCCGCATTCACTGTGCTTCGTTACACCTTGCGGAGAACATGAAGGGGGGGTGGGGGGTGGCCAAACAGAGGCTATTAGTGTGGACAATGAAGCATTTGTTTTGGTCTGAGATGCTGGTGGTCTAGTGCGACGTCCAATGGAATTGTTTACAGAACCTTTAACTGTTCGAAACTGAAATTCCTGTTGTTATATGCTGTACTGTATACTTCATACTTCCACATTTCAGTGCAGTGAAAATGTAAAATTTCTGGTTTCCCGATAGCAATCCTGGCTCCTCCTGTCTCCTCACATTTACTTATTTGTTTTCCCAGTTATATTTTGTTTGTTAGTTGCCGCCTGCTGTATATGTCACTGACACTGATGTTAATAAAAATAAGCACATTGTGTCTCGTCCTTCAAAGTGCTTTTGACTTTTTCAGTATTTAACCAAGACCATGATCTTTTCCTAACCTTAATCAAGTGCCATGGAGTGTTTAAAAATAACTATTACAGAGTTAAATCATGCTTTAGTCATGGATATTGCAAGTAGATATTGCAGGGATCAAGGCTGGATTAGCAACTGGGCAAAGTGGGCAACTGCACAGTGGCCCCAGAACCAGAAAGGATTACTCCATGGCATTTGGGTCAACATAATATGATTAATACCGAATTTGTTCGAAATTTACTGACATAGAAAATCAACTCTCCTCCATCGTCCATCATATGTCCCTGGTCTTGCAGAGGGTACCTATGCCAAAATCCAGTAGTTTTAATTACTTAACTACTTTTCAATGATAGTATTTAACACAGAACATTTAAGACAAGGTAGTGTTGTTCTATCATAAGTACTAGGCTGCAACCAAAAGCTTCCATCAGTGCGTCTGTTATTTTCTTCAATAATCTAATGATTATACAGAGTTTAGTGGAAAAGGCCCATCATTATTCCCTGAAGTGAACATATTCAAATGTCTTGTTTTATCTGATTAACAGTCAAAACCTCAGACGTAGGGAAAAAGTCGGGAAAACTAACAAATATTCACATATCACCCTGCAGGACGTTAATCCAGCTGTGGTAGGGACTTGTTCACTTTCAACATTTTGTAACTTGGCAAGCATTAACTTAACTTTCAAAACACATTTGCAAATTGGTAGTATAAAAACAACAAAACATTACTTGATTTATATTTTATGTATTATTAGCACATACAGTTTTATTTTAAATATTGGTTTTAGGTTTCCATTAACAACTGAAAATGTTGCAGCTGTGCTTTAGCTTTTCTTTTGTGCAGTAAGTGTCCAGCTTAGTTACTATGTCACAGCTGGACACCTTAGATAGCTTTTCTTAGATTTGGAGACATGTTTGATGCCATTATAACTAGTTTTAAGAAATCAAGACAAAGAATAGGCAAAGTCTGGAGGAGGGTTATGTGCAAGACACTAAGTAACTAAGAAATAGATGTGTATTTCAAGAACAAACTGTCTAGTTATCTGAAAATACGTGAAGTCATTTTTATGACAACTATAAAACACAGCTCACAGGAGGTAAATGCTTCCTCAGCCCCTGATTTTGTGATCAGAGTTTCATGTTTCCCCTTTAAAAAAATTCTAGTTTGGCGTTGGGGTAGAGGCTGATCCAAAATCAGGGCAATTTATGTCAAGCATCAGAAAAAAAAAGACTACAAATATGGCCACAGTAAATGGAAGATGGGAGCAGTTCTTGGAGAAACATTCTTCAAAGCTCATGTTGATGAATTAATGATTGAATGATGAATATGGAGGAAGGGAGGGGGGGGTTACACTCGGGCTTTAGAACACTCTGGAACATATAAATGATCAATTGCGTCTTTCAGCAGAGAATAAAAAAAGTTTTGGCTGTCCAAAGCTGCAGTCAAGCCACAGAGAAAACAGAGGAAAAGGATGAATGAAAGGATGGATGAAAGGAGGAAGGGAAGTGAAGAAGCTGGCCATACACTCTCATGTACTTGCTCCATAATTCTTCTCCCGTTTTACCCTCGTTTAATCATTCTGTGTCATGCTCTTACATCTCTCTAACATCTCTCCTCCTTCCTCCTCCCTCCACCCTCTGCAGCATCCCAAAACAGAAGTCTGTTGTCACATCCCCTCTTCTTTTTTTTCTTCTTCTCTTCCTTTTCCACCATCTTATTCACGTCCTTTTCTCTTTCCCATGCCCCTCTTCTTCCTCCATCTGCCTTTTCCCCACCTTCATCATACTTTCCATCTTCCACCAGCTCCTCCTCCTTCATTTCCACCCCCTGCTCCTCCTCTTCCTCTGCATCTTCCTCTACATGGGGAACACCAGGAAGCCAGAGAAGGTGGAGTATTTCCATCCTCCCATTAGGTTTCCTCTCTCCAGTTTGAGGTAGGCCCGGTCTCCCTTTTCCATCTGGATCAGAACACCATTGCTGGCCGCCTCGCGCGTCACATCCTGGTCGCCTGCAAACGCAGAAATGACCGGCCAGCCGTTGTGCATCAGGCTCACCTGGATAAGATGGAAAAGGATAGACAGTTTACAGAATGGAAAAGAGGGGGAATGAGACAGACAGGCTCACAGACAGTCACCCACACACGCTGGGAAATGTAATGGCATTTGGTACGAAACGCACGCAGAATATTCAACATCATGCCGGTGCCTTCATGTAGATTCAGATTGTCATATTTTTGGACTTTCCTAGTTGAGATACAAGATTTTAATCTTGTAAAAAAAAATAAAAATAAGTACATAAAGCAATGTATTACAATGTGATTACAATAATACAACAGAATATCATATTTGAATGACACAGCTTTGTGTTGTGCAGTCAGCCCATTGTCAATAGATTTATCAAGAGAGTACTTCCCTGCTTTTCAATTACCACTTGGAGAAGATTTAACAAAGACTTGGAGAGACATTTACACATAGAGAGATACAACAGTCCCACACTGTGTCTGACTCAACAAATGTTTCGATGGGGAATAACATCTTCTTCTTACAAAGAGACGTAGCTGTCAGTGATCTGTCCCCCTCCCTTCCCAGGCCAGCCAACATACACACCAGACAGTGGCTTTCATCACTACTCTTTTGAGCAACAGCAGAAATACAGGCGCTCGCTGGCTTTGTTTCCCCCTTTACGCTTCAATAAAAAAAAAAAAAAAAATGGTTTTATGCTACCCCTGGTACCGATGTGGCACTAAAACAAACTGAAATGAATTTTGGAGAAATGTCTGTTTATGCAGGATCACACTTTATAAAACCTGTGTGAGCAAACTTACTGTTTCTTGATAAGAGAGACAACACAGTCAGTGTTCACATGCATTTCTAGAGGTAGTTTGTATGCTGTAAGGCGATGACTATGTGGTGACTGACTGAGCACGAGGAAAGAGAAAATATGCAAACCATTTGTGAGCCTGTTGTATCATCCTGCTTTGTACATTGAGGCTCATATTCTTAGGCTTCATTTTTAAATGTGATAAGATGGTTAAAGAGTGGCAGGTAGCACAAACTATTTATGAGGGATCACTGATCTGAAAAATATGCTTGAAAACCAATACACTAAGGCAGCTCAAATGTTCAAAAGTATCCAAAATCCCAGATGCTATACACAAGGGACTGTTCAATGAAAAAAATCTATCCAGGTATATTGTATTGAACTTGCTCAGACAGACACCAGTCTATTGCTGCTTTGCACTAGATAATGTATGGAAAATGTAGAGCTGACTTGCATTCAATTGGATGGATGTTTGTAATATTGTGTCCACCACCCGTAATCCTTCCACTCTTTCTTAAAACATAGTTATTCACCCAGGCCTGTGAGATCTTTTGTGTCATTTATCGTACTTACGTTATAAATGCATTTGTTTCTACACAACATGTAGGTTTATCACTCCAGAGAACAGCTCAGCTCAGACAGATATTTTCCCTTCTGAGCTCTAAATACATCAAAATACTTCTGTACACCCTGGAAGCAAGTAAACTGTTGCTAACTGATGAAACACAGTCATAAACATCCCATAATTATACACTTATCCACCTCATTCTATCTGATGGTCAAGAGAGAGAGTGTGTGTGTGTGTGTGTGTGTGTGTGTGTGTGTGTGTGCATGTGTCTGTGTGTGTGTCTGTGTGTGTGGGCAGGAGATGAAGAGCCTGTCAGAGTCAAGAGCTCTCTTGGCCCAGCACTCCTCTTAATAGCAAAGTGAACATAGCGACTAAAGCTGTATATGTGTGTGTATGTGTATATGTGTGTGTGTGTGTGTGTGTGTGTGTTGCTCTGAACAGCCAGTCTGTGATGAAAACACTCAGACTCTGCTCAAACTATTTTTTTTAATTATGTGGATGCAAATACAGCGCAGGTCATGGCAAAAAATTACATTTTACAATGCTGAAAATTTTGTTCGTTACAACTACAACCGATTTAATTAGAGATCTTGTGCGGTTTGGTTTATATATAATAACACACCTACATATTTTGACTTATCTAGCTAATTATACTTGTCTTATTGGTGCCCCAGTGGTACTATCATGCTTATTAGTGCTGTCAGCATTGCCCAAATTTAATATACAGTATAACACACCTGATAATTAGGAAGTCTTTGCTTGCACAATTAGTTTAAAATTGGCAGACATTATTAGCAGACAACCACACAGTAAACTGAGTATCACTCAGGCTAATACATGTGAGACAATGGGCAAATTTATATTTCACATAGTAAAAATAACTGCTGCATTACCACACTCTAGTAGCAATTAAAGTAACTGCTGACACAAACAAGTTTTGTCCTACATACAGTAGCTTCTACACACACTGAGGCATCACTCAGTGTGAGATGAGGGAGTTTTGGTTTAGCTGTCTGACCTGAACTTGGCTCCTGCTGAGCACATCTTGTTCTGTGGGGAAAAGAACTCACCCTCTTATATTTATTCATCTTCCACTATTCAGTTTGAGAGTTTCACACTCCCTCCTCTGATCCGTGTTCGTCCTCTCTCTGCAGACTACAGAGCTAGCAACTGGTCACAAGTCTTTAAAACTGTGACATAAACACTACTCATGGATGGGAAGGGGGTCACATAAAGTCAGCAAGTTTCAAAGTGAACTGTAGCAGCTTTACACTTAATTTAAGGAGCTAGAAGAGCTAGACTGAAGGAATGTCTTTACTGAAAACACTACATGTAGCTGCAAATTCAAGTTGACAACAAAAAGGTGACAGCATCTTCACACTCCAGTCCCCCACCTACCTTCATTTTTGGTAATGACATGTTATATGTCATGTAAGTGAAATATCTTAAGTAATTTGAAGACAACATCTTTGGGGCCACTGTTGTTGGATGTTTTACTGACTAAAGGATGATTGAGAAAAGAATAAACATAAGAAAAATTAAGCCCTTATCATTTCAAGCTTTGGCCCCACTTAGCCATGTACCTCCTTCTTCCTGAACCTCTTCTCCCCCTCTCTCTGCTACACCTGGGGATGGTAGGCAACAAGCTGCATGATACTGACAGGGCACAGTAGCCAAAATGTGCCAATGCAAGAGGCAAATGTGATAAAACTGCTACTTCTCTGAAAAATTAACATGCATCAAGATGCCAACAGTGTGTAGGACTTCACATAGGAAACAGCAGGTATGGGTGTGTTGACACAGATCACATGCTGTCGGCTACACTGCCTTGAGAAGCAAACCGCATGCGTGCCATAGAAAATGAACAGAATTGTGAACTAGATTTCGCCACGCACCACGTTTAATTCAATCAAGGTAAAGTTAGCTTGATTTGGAAAAGTTAACATTCTGTAGCTAAGTCAAACAGTAACCCAAAACAGTATGCACCACAAACATGTGGTCACAGGTATGACTGGCCGAGAGACATGTAGAACCACGCACCTTATTTCGTTGAAAGGTGAATGGTTTGCAGCTATGACACTGGCATATGGAAGATAAGTGTAAATTTATGTATATTTGTGTACATCAGTCTGTCCCCAATACACACCACATGGAAGCAGAATATTATCCAATTTGCAGATAACCAATAATCGATAAAGCCAATAGTGATACAACTAATGCCTGCAATATCGCAATGTGTCCACTTTGCACCGGCAGAGTTCACCACTTTTAATGCCGTGGTTATAATCAGTGCAGACTTCTTACAGTTAAAACACTACTTCATTAGTGTGCGTCTTGATTGATTACAAACATTACACTGTTTCCAAGAATCTTCAATCACTGAAGAAAGACGAGCACAAATCATTAGAAACATGAAATTTGGAACTCATCATCAATAACTGACATCGCTCCAGATTGTACTGGAGAGGTGATAAGTGAAGAAACGGAGTACACAATTAAAACAAAACACACACACCCCTTTTTATGGAGGCTTTTCAAGGACAATGTAGAGAGTGTGATAGAGATGGAGGGAGGGTGTAAGGAGAAAATCATTTGAACCACTCCTCGATCTTTCTTTAAAATATGTAGTGATGCTCAATGATAAACTGCCATATTGTAATAGTCACAATAACTATTAAGTAAAGATTAAGATTCATGTGTAAATGTACAAACTTACTTTCTTATGGGTTTCTTATTTTACATTCATATCAAGCAGAAAGACTTAAAGGAGGCCAGTCCAAAAATATCAAGTACTTCCTCCCCCACCCAAAATGTCAAGCTGAGCTCAATATACAGGCGACAGACACACTTAGGCTAAAAAGATCATCATATGTGGAGAGGTGCAACCAAAGACTTCAAATTAGCCTTATTAACATCCAGATTATAATATGAAACAGACATAGATAGATAGATAGATAGATAGATAGATAGATAGATAGATAGATAGATAGATAGATAGAACAAGAGGAGAAAGGACAGGAGAAGGAGGCGGGAATGGATGGAGAGGGAGGGGAGAAATGGTTTCTGTCCAGTGTGCATGTAATGCTTCTAAAACAGAGACAGAGATGGCAGACAAAAAAAGCCAGCATCACTACATCACTCTGTTACCCTGAGACACACACACAAGCGCACGCACACACACACACACACACACAAATCACGCAGACAAAATCCACCCTCTCGCCTCCCCATCCATTCAGCCAAATCACTCATGTGGAACTCACACTTACAAACCTTCCCTCCTTTCCACAAATACACATTTTTCCCCTCCATACACATCACATCACATAACACACACACACACACAGACACACAGACACGCAAACACTCTCTGTTTCTTTCAATCAATTATTTAAACATGTTTCTTGGTTGTCTTGCTTACTTAAGCCCCCCTCAGATCTAGAACGTGTAATGTTGCCAGGCTCGTCCGTCAGTTAAAATAATGGCTTTTTTGGATTTCACACAGAGGTGTCCGTTGTGGAGGAGTGCCATGTTGACTTTGTTAAAACATGTTGGGACCATTAACGGAGACAGCGAAAATGTTTGTGTGCCATTTGACTTTTGCATGGTAGAGCCAAGGCAGGACTTAACTGAGACAAAATGTTATTTCTGCTATTGCCCTAATTT